TTGTGTTGGGTTGATTATATTTAAATATAACGAATTGATAATTTGTTAATTGTAAAAAAGGGATCTAGGATTTGATAACTTGTGATGGGAGTTGTTAAGTTGTTGATTGTTGGGTTATTTTGGAAATGATTTGTTATGTTTGTGAGGAAATGGAGGAAAGCACTAATTTAATATTATTGTTATAATGGATCTAAAAGGGAGGGAGTTGAATAATCTTTATATTTTGCTAATATGGGTTGGATAATTGGGTTTATATCAAAAGAAAATAAAAAGAGAAGTAACCACGGTGTTGGTATTGTTTTAGGCTATTCATGTGAAGTTGAGTTGAGTTATGGTTTTGATACCAATGGAATTGGCTTTTTTGTAAAATAAAGAAGATGGATTTGGTTTTGGTTTTGTAAAATGACGAGAATGGATTCTTAGAAAATGGTTGAAGTTGTGTGGATTGGAAAATAAAGAAATGTGGTATTTTTGAAAGAAAATTAAATCATCACCCTTTGTGAATTGATAATGAACTTGAGGTCGGGTTTTGGAACCTTTACATAATATCATTGTTATTGGACTAAAAGTCTTGCGAGAATTGGGTTTTTGTTTTCCTTTCGTATGAGATGTAGAAATAGATAGTTTATCTATTTTGGAGATTGTATATACATATGATTAGAAATATATGTTTTGGGTTATCGGTGGAGGATAGCCATGATTGTTGTAGAAACTGCATATGGATTAGGTGAATATGATGGTATGATTGAGATGTTGAATACGTGTCATAGATAGTCATTGTACATGACGATACTTTTAATACATTGCATATGTATCATTGTTTGGGAGGAGATAGGGGGTGGACTCCATTTATAATTAAGTTGGCCGGAGTATCCAGGGTGAAAGTCCCGAAATCTTATACACATGGGTGCCGATTCCCGCGGACGAAATTTTCGTAAAATGGCAAAATCTTGAAATCATGTGCATATATGGGTGCCGGTTCCCTCGGATGAAAATTCCGTAAAATTGCAAAACTTCATATCCTGTGCATATATGGGTGCCAATTCCCTCGGATGAGAATTTCGTTAAATGGCAAAATTGAAGTATTTGTGTAATAATTGTGTTGCTTGAGAACCACTGAGTTGTAGCCTTAGTTTGGTATCCAAAATGAAACGAATTGGCTCATGAATTGAGATGAAATAAATTAACTTGAAATGAATTATCATGAAATGAAGTAAGACTAAAATGGAAAGGTGTATCCTTGAATTGGGATTTTGTTATGAAAATGGTGTATCCTTGACTTGGCATTTTGTTATGGAAAGGTGTATCATTGGCTTACCATCCTTAAGGCACGTAGAGCAGGATTTATTTATCATTATTATCTCAGTGTATCTGGGTATATCATGGGTTATGATGGTTATTGTTCTAGAAGGCTGTGTTGCCTCAATTGTTGAAGCAGATAGTTATTGGTTGCTTGTTGTTTTCCCTTTTGTATTAAAGGCATACTTGTATAGTTATAAATGTGTTGGAAATGAACGTAAGTGTTATGTTGAGATGGTGAAAAAACGTGAAAGACTTTGAGTACTTGTGAACATGTTTTGAAAAGGCAAATCAGGTATAAGTCTGGAAAGTGAGAGAAAACGTAACGGGTTTGGTGAAATTGTTTTCTTCAGAAATTTGTTATAGTCATATGAATTTTGGAAAAAGGTAACAAGAAGAGAGAAAAGTGAATTGCTTATGTTATTGAATGAATTGAATGACTTTGAGAAAAGTTCTTATATACATATTTTTCTGTATAAACCGCCACATTATTTATACAGCATGAGACTAAGCATTCATGGTCATAGCTTTCTGTAAGTTGCTATTGTTTAGGATCATGTTGAGATCCCTACTGGACTTTATGCTCATCCCACGTTGCTTATCATTTTTCAGGTGAACATCGAGAAATGTTTCAAGATCGAGGATCTTCTTTGCCTGTTGGCCACGAGGCTTTTTATTTGTAGGCGGAATGCCATTGATGTAAAAGAGTTATACCCTTTCTTTTACTGTTAAAGATGTAAGCCTACGGGCGATTTATTTAATTATGTACATGTTGCATTTTCGGATGAGAGAATCTTTATTTATTCTTACAAATGATGTAAAGAGTTTCTGCATGTTGTCTTTGAAATTGAATAAACTTAATGAATTTGGTAATGGATTACGAGTAATAAAATGTGGGGCGTGACAATGTAATTGTATTATCAGGATTATTTACAGATATTTTTTCAAAATGTTCCCAAATACTACTACTTCTGCTCCTAGATGATGATCCAACTGTTGAAAGAAGGATATTAGAAGGAGAATCAATATATTCATGTTGTGTAGTATATGTATTAACATTAACATAAACATTAGGAATATTATGATCCATAGTAATGTAAGTAAAACAATATATAAGAATTAACAATTAATTTAAATAATGTGTAAATACTATGAGTAAGAAATGATAATTAATATATGTGCACAAATAATTAATGAAAAAAATGAGTAGCTAATAAATTTAATTAAATTAATTAATGTTACCGACTGACGAATGTGATACAGAAATTTGCTTCTTCTGATAAAAGTTTTTTGTTGCACAATTGCAATTGTCACTTAGGGATGACAATTCAAAATTAATTGAGAGATTGAGAGAGTTTAAGAGAGTGTGTGTGTGTCACAGAGAGAGAGAGAGATAGAGAATTATTTGTGAGATTTATTTTGAAAAATGAAGGATATTTATAGTAGTTTGAAAGAGTGAAATAAATTTATAAAAAAATATAAATATATTACCGTTTGTCTTAGGATGTTTGAATTTTTATGACCGTTTGAATTTTTACCGTTTATAACCGTTTGAATTTTTATTTTTTTTCATTCATTGAATGAGACTTGAGTGATTGATGAGATTGAGATGCAACAATAAACAGAGTAGGCTAGGTGCGGGTAGGCAGGCTAGTACAATGCACACTAACCAACCATTTGATTTTTTTTATTATTTATATATATATATATATATATATTAATTCATTCATCATAAGAGCATCCACAATGGAGTGACTAAAAAATAGTGTGTTATATGACAAAAAGTGATAAAAATGAGGCCAAAAAATGTGTGTTAACGTGTGTTAAGAGTATGTTAATTTTACAGAGTGAGTGATGGTGCAATGGATATGTTAAGATATGTGTTAAGTGATGTATACATATATTAAATTAATAAAATAATAATATTAATAACTTTTTGTTTTTATTTTTAAAATCTTTGCAAGATCATTATTTTATTTATTTAACCGTTGCAAGTTATTTTTTATTTTTATTTTCAAAAATTTGACCATTGGTTGAGAGAGGGCTGGGCCACCAACAGGGCCTGAATTTTTTTGGGTCAGGCAGGCCAAAAATGGAAGGCCCAAGTCCAAGCACAAGCCCAAGGTACTGGGCTGGGCTCGGAGCCGAGCCTAATCGAGCCGAAATGAACAGGGCCCACCTCAGGTCGTGAGCGGGTTTCAGACTGCCCACAGGCCTGGGCTATTATTACACCCCTACCCAAACCCATCTTTGTCCTTTCTTCAAGGGAAGACTCACAAAACCAAACCCATTTCCAAAGCCCAAATAAGAAGATGGTCTCCAAAGCCCAAATAAGAAGATGAAGCCGTGAATTTGCGGGATAAAAATTGTAACACTATCAATTTAGACTTAATTATTTGAAAATTAATCTGAATTATTATTATGTGGTTCAAATTTATCTTATATATAAATTTTATATTATACAAATTTAATCTCCACTATACAATTCCCTACTCAAAAAGATTGGGGCTTTAAGTCTGAATCTTAGATTTTTCTCACAAAAAATTGTTGAGCCACTAATTTTTTTGTCCCAATTTTATACCCAAAATGAGGAGGTATGGTTTGTATTGTATTGAGTAATTACATTTAAGTGGATGTCAAAAACATATATATATATATATATATAAATTCATAAAAAAATTTATAATTTTAATTATTAATTTTTATAAGTTTTTTTTATTGATTTGTAATTTTTTTTTCAAAATTTTATTAATGTGATATTTCCTCTGTAGTTAAAGTCGATAGGATGGAAGTCACACTAGTCCTCGTTTGGCACGGGACTATAGGTTAAAATAATTATAAAAAGACAAAATAAGTTAAAAAATCAATAAAATAAAATATCATATCACATCCAAACCATAATAATTTCATTTTTTCTCTCATAAAAGTCAAAAAAGTAAAAAAGTCTAATCCAGATGAGGATTTTTAGTCTCAAACTAAAATAATCCAAAAATTAAAAAGTCAACCCACTTTCCAAACGAAACCTTAAGGCTTTTATTAGGAGTATAGTCCGGTTTAGTTTGAAATCAAGTTTAAATTATTATTTACAACTTTATAAAATTTAGAATCAAACCAATCTATTTAAATTATAAAATCAAATCAGATCGAATCATTTTTAAATGGTTTGGTTCAGTTAAAAATTATCCCAATATATTTATATACTTTTATTGTTGATGAGACAAAACGATATTTTTTAATAGTTTAAAAACTTTATAATTTATTTTTTATTTATAGTTTATGGGTCTTAAATAAGTATCAGATTTGTCTCTAGTTCACTTTGTAAACTGGACGATGTTGTTGGGTTTGTGAGACTCATTATAGGTTTTATTTTGATAATTCGAACCGTTCAATATGTAGAACTCGTCGAACACTTTATCTCTGTAGAAAATCACGTTCATCGGGTATCGATAGCTACTTGATCCGATCAGATTTTTGTTAACAATTTATTTTCAAATTATATTTACCGTTGACAGAAATCTGATCCGGTTAAGTAGTTATTGATATCCAATCAATGTAATTTTCTATAAAAATAAAATATTCAATAAATTATACATATTGAACGATTCAAATTATTTAAAAAAAAAAACTTATGATACACTCATAGATACCCAGTAATGCCTTCTAATCCGATGGAAACCCTTAAATAACCCAAATCAATTGTTTGTCCAAAAGTACAACTTAGATGGGTCCGGGGATATCGCTGTGAAGGACTCGCAGCAGCCCATTGGATTAACATTTGTCGGAAAAAGGGAACATAGAGAAAAGAGAGATTCTCAAATCCATTTTTAAGGAGAGGCGTGAAGTTCTGGTGTGGGGAAGCACTTGATTGAAGCAGCTGTGTGGTGGTGGTCCTGTGTGATTTGCGGCGGAACACGGCGGCGTTGATGGTGGTGCCAGAAAATGTGAGGAGAGGAAGTGATATGCGAAGGAGATCTGGTGCGGTGTCGTAGAACATGAACGGCATTTTCGAGTTTGGCCATTTTTCTCCTATCTGACCTCCTTCATTGCCGATCCGACCATTCCAGAGAGCTCACACTGGTTTCTGGACTCTTCTCTGTCCGATCGGATTGTTGTTCATGTAGATTGTACAGGTTAGTCATTTTCTTGTCTGTATCTCTATCATTCATTATTCCAATGTGATTTTCCCTAATTACTTTATGCATCTGATTGTAGTAAACAACTGAATGAATTCTGATTTTACTAGATCTGACTTTATTTTATATTTTTGTTTGTTGCTGTAATTTGTGCTGATTCTGGTGGATTTGTGAGGCTTGGATCAAATTTCTCTCTTACTTTTGGCATTGTGTGTATTTTTGTGTTGAATCCCTGTAACAATAGCTAGAAAGGGGGTGACCATGGGTTCAATGGTAAAACGTTAATATGGGTTCAAATCACAGTCAACTACTTTGTGCACTATGCCAAAAGGATAGATGTGTACCCAATCTTTTCTTTTCCAAACACAATTAATGTGTACTAATTGGGTGTCGTTTTTTTTATTCCTGTAACAATAGCTAGTGAAGTTAGAAACAAAGTTTTAAAAACCTTTACTAAGACTTGCCTCAATGCTTGCCTCATCCCGAGGCTAAGGTAAAACGCATTAGGACTTTGATTTTTAGGCTATAATCCCTAAAGGCTGACACATCACAGTCTGAGGCATGCACTTTAGGTGCGCCTTGTATGCCTTTTGCTCATAAGCATATGAGCAGTAGTATGCATATGAAGAGGTTGTTTCAGACTCTTATTAAACTTAGACTAGTAGATGATTTGAAAATTAAAATCCAAAAATAAGAAATAACCATTTTTGTAATTATATTCTATAGAAAAAATTAAGTAAATGACTAATCAAGAAAGAAACACGAAGTTAAGTTCCAAGTAAGAAGTTCGATCACTAAAGTTAAGAATGTTGATTTCACTTTCAATAATGGCAAGCTTTGTTTTTTATAGTGAAATGTTCGATGCTTTAAAGAAAAAAGTATTTACACTTTTATGTTTAATCTTTATTTATTTTTCACTACTTTAAAATATTTAATTTATTTACTAAATATTAGAATTTAAAATTTGAAATGTTCGATGCTTTAAATTCTAATAAAGTTTTGTTCTTTACAGTGAAATGTTTGATACTTTAAAGAAAAAAAGTATTTACACTTTTATATTTAATTTTTATTTATTTTTCACTATTTTAAAATATTTAATTTATTTACTAAATATTAGAATTTAAAATTTGAAATGCCTACGCCTTGACACTTTAAAGCTTACACCTCGCCTCATAAGGGGTAAAATGCCTCGAGTTACGCATTTTCGTTTAAAAACTTTGTTTAGAAATGGCTCCATGAATAGACAAGTGAAGTTATAGAGGACTGTGAAAGTTTGCATTTAAAAAAGAAATATATATATATTCTTGGGAGAGGTCCAAAGTAATGTTATAGATGCTTATTTTTCTGTTGATTATATTATTATTTTTTGAAATGCAGTATTTGTACAGTTTCAAGGTCACCCATTTAAAGGTACAATATTGTTTTGAATGTGCTTAAAGTTTCTTCAAGTAGGTCTCATTTGCAGCTGTTTTGTTTAAGATTTTTTAAAACTTTTTCTTGAAATCAAAATGGTCAAAACTGCCACTGTAATAGCAGATCCACTTCCAGAAAGAACTAGATCATTAAAGGAATTTTGTGTTTTTTTGGGGTTGTAGTTGAACATTTGAAGGTAAGATGTCCTTCAAAAGCATTGTACGCGAGCTGAGGGAGATGAAAGATGGGATTGGGAGCATGCCAAAAAGAGGGGTGGAAGGCAAGCATTGGCGCAATCGAACCCGATCGCATATTGCCCCTGATGTAGCCGCTTCAGAACCAATAGAACAAGGACACTGGGCAAACTTGCCGCCAGAATTGCTTTTGGATATAATCCGGAGGGTTGAAGAGAGTGAAACATCATGGCCTGCGAGGAACGTTGTTGTTTTTTGTGCATCGGTTTGCAAGTCATGGAGGGATATTACGAAGGAGATTGTCAAGACTCCAGAGGAGTGTGGGAGACTTACCTTCCCGATTTCATTGAAACAGGTGACTTCTATTTGTCTGATTATCATCATTGTTATTATGTTGCTATAGGTACCATTGGTACTACTGCTAAATTCTCTTTGAGTAATGTTAGAGATCATGAAAAAAATGTCATGAAGATAATCATGAAAGATTCTCTACCTTTGGATTATACAAACAACAAAACACCACACACTAATCAAATGATAAAAAAATTTCATGATACATTTCATGATATTTTTTTGATGATTCCTAGTATTATTCATGCCTTTTACAATGGTTACTAGTACTACTACTAACTAATGATATCTATGATGATGACTATCTTGTATAACTGATTTATTTTGCCTCTTATTTGCAAATAGCCGGGGCCACGGGATTCTCCAATTCAGTGTTTTATTAAAAGGGACAGAGCAACTTCCATATATCGTATGTACTTTGGGCTGACCCCTTGTAAGTCACTTATTCTTTCACATGCTTATTTCTTCATTATTAGACACTTTTGGTTCCTTTGAATTGCCTAAATGATGGGCCTATGGTTTTTTCAATTTATGTATAATATCATTGTTGCTTGGGAAGTTCACCTGCAAATACTCTTGCTTATGGACCTAAACTTGTGGATTATTATGACCTTTGTTCTTATGGAAATTAAGGGTATCTGATAATAAATAACCTGAATATAAATACATTATGCATTTTTTGTTGTTGGATAGTTGAGTCTTATTTATGATCTAAGAAGCATGGATACAAACATGCGACATGACACAGAAATGCAGACACGCCAATTTTTAAAAAATACAAGACACTTTCAAAATATACTAGACACGACAAATGGGGAGAGGGGGAGGAGGGCACACATAAATTATATAATTTTATATATTTATTATTGGTTATATATATGAATTTATCATTCAAAATGAAGAGGCGGCTCAATCCTATCCGATGCTGCCTAAAACAAGCGAAAATTCTAGTTGAGGCCCTTTATAAATTTTTGCATTGTAATATCTTTATTTAATTTTTTTTTATTTCACTTTTTAAAATGCAAAATTACTAATACATTTTTATATTCAAGTTTTGCTAAAATATCATTCATAGGAAGAAGTACAATTTATATTTTTGAACTGACCATTGCTAATGCAACACTACACAGAAACAACTACAAAACTAAGTGTTGCATGAGCTTTTGTGGTTGGTTTTATAACTGTTTCTTCTCTAACTTTTCTTTTGCTGATGTGGATTTTTAATTTGGCCAAAAAGAGATATAATGGTGAGAATTTTTTGTTTTCACCAAGAGAGATGTACATTGATCAAGTCTTTGTTTGTATAATGACAGATTTTCATTTCTTTCTTCGTATTTAATAGTCAATTTTATGAGAGTATTTATTTTTCTTTTGCCTTTTTTTGTCTTCATAAAGAGATGGAGTATAATGATGATTGAGGAGAGGTATAATGATGATAGGGTAGTTTGTTTTGATATGTAAGAAATACAATTTAACGAGAGATCCTCCTGTCTACACCCTTTTTTTTTTTTTTTCCCAATTTCTTTTTCACCTTTTCCTTTAATCTTCAGATTAGTTTGATGGAATGGAGCATTACATTAAAGCTTTCTGGATCCAGATATCAAATAATTTGCAAGAATATTCATATTTGAGTTGGTTTTGTAGTTTTGTTAGTTAAAGGACTTTAAGAAAGTGCTGATGTGATGGAATTTTAGTAGTCACTGGGAGGTTGTGTCTTATGTTTCTAGTGATTGACAGCGGAGAATGAGAATGATAAATTGTTGTTGGCTGCGAAAAGGATCAGAAGGGCGACACGCACAGGATTTTTGATATCTTTAGTTGCAGATGATTTTTCTCGAGCCAGCAATACATTTGTTGGAAAATTGAGGCAAGTATTGGTAACTTTACATGCTAATTGTTCTTGTTTGATGGATTATTCTTCATGAACCTAACTAATATTAGACAAAATTTGGACCAGGTCTAATTTTCTGGGCACCAAGTTCACCATATATGATAGCCAACCTCCAAATGATGCTGCAGTTCAACAGAACATTCGGTCAAGTCGAAGATTCCATGCCAAGCAAGTTTCTCCAAAACTACCTGCATGTAGTTACAGTATTGCTACCATCACATATGAGCTTAATGTTCTCAGGACAAGAGGGCCCCGGAGAATGCATTGTGTCATGCATTCTATTCCCGTTTATTCTATTCAAGAGGGGGGTGCTGCCCCAACACCTACATCATTCCCGCACTCCCCTAATGAAAATATTTCTCCCTCATTACCGGACTCAAAAGGAATCGAGCCCGTCACAGATTTCAGCTCCTCAAGCCTTGTAGCTTCTCCAAGATCTGCCCCCGTCTTTGGAGAACCATTGATTCTTAAAAACAAGGCTCCTAGATGGCACGAGCAGCTACAGTGCTGGTGCCTAAACTTTAAAGGCCGTGTTACCGTTGCTTCCGTTAAGAATTTCCAGCTTGTGGCAGCTGTTGATCAATCTGACAATGTGCCAACTGCTGAACAAGAAAAAGTAATTTTACAGTTTGGAAAGATCGGGAAAGACATCTTCACCATGGATTATCGTTATCCACTCTCTGCTTTCCAAGCCTTCGCAATCTGCTTGAGCAGTTTTGACACAAAACCAGCCTGTGAATGATATCTCTGTGTTGTAGATCAAGATCATCTTTTTGCTAAGTTGTTGCTTCCTTAACTCTGAATATGTTTATTCTCTACTTAGAAGCTCATCGTGCATATGGCCACATGTTAAACAACTGACAATCTTAACTGTAAGTTGCTTTATGTAACGGCCATTTATGTTTAGCTGTGGGGTATAAGTTTTTTATGGCTTGCCTGTTGTCTTCATTCTGAAACTATAGATATTTAATGTATCAAGATTAATGATTTATATCCATTTAGCTGCATTGGTTTGTGGTGACTACTGCTGATATAGTTTATTAGTCAATATATTCTGAGTTTACTTTCATATTGTGTTTTTAAAAACTAAGGTCTCGTTTGGCAAGAGGCTATTTTAGCCAATTAGTCAAAAAGTTACTAAATTAGTCAAAAAGTCAACAATTCATACCAAAAAGTCAAAGATTCTCTTTTCTCTCTACTTTTTGCACATCTTTTCGTAATTAGTCAAAAAATCATCCCAAACATACAAGTTTTTTTTACCTATCTTTTTAGCCAAATAGTCAAAAAATTACTAAATTAACCTGTTCCCAAACGAGGCCTTAGACTGGGCTAAGATCCTCAACCCTAGAAGGAGTTCTTGTCCGCATCATTCTCTATTTATGAGTGCTATTTATGAGTGTTTTTGCACTCGGCTTTCAATTATAGGTTTGCTCTCACTTCCTTGTAGCCATGACGCGTTATATTTTGAGCAGAAGTGCTCTGATACGACTTGTTAGTGGTAGGAAGCATTCTGTTACAATAAAAACACGATAAATCAATAATAATTAAACATCAAGAAGGAGAAGCGTAACAACCATACAGGGGATTTTCAAAAAATATTCTTTATACAGGCTCAACAACTGCCTATCCAATCAAAACATTCATAAGTATTCCTATATATACAATAACAAAAAACACAAATAAAATAATTATATAAAAAATAATAATAATATCTGAAAATTAGTTTAAATGCCAAACACATCCACAGAGGATGTATGTTGTCAACAACTTTAATTTAGATCCAAGGTTTCACAAACCAAGCAAAACATGATGTGCGTGACACCAAAAAAAGTAAAAATAAAAAGAAAAGAAAAGAAAAAGAGTCCAGTTCTTGCTACAAAGGAAGAACAACATATAACTGCAAGGAGACCATCTCTATCTTCCAATAATCCATCTTGTCACATTCAGCAGCATGCTTTGCTAAAACACACAAGATCATGTACTCCTCATCGTACAGTAGAGTAAGTAATGAACTCCCTTGAGGTGAACTGAAAGGGCTGGAGTGGAATAGGGTTCCTGCGGATAGAACATAAAGTGAGATGATTCGGTTAGACAACAGGTAATCACATACATGGGTACAAAGACTCAAACTCATCTAAAAGCAGAAAGACTCAAACTCACAGTCGAGGCCCATAAACTTTTATTTGGCGTACATGGGTATCTCTTCCATTAAGATGATTTGACAACACGGCAATTTGCAACATGAAAGTATTGACAAAAGTGTCCCTGCCAAAGATATTGGTAAAACTAGAGTTCAGAAGTTTACTAACTTGTGCATACATACAATTCAAAACCACTTAATAGATGGATACTTTTAGAACTTAGCCAATCTATTTCCTAAAAATAAATAAGCATTCTTTTCTTTTCTTTTCTTTTTTTTTCCCCCCCAAAATCATATTGCAAAACGAAAGTTAATGGAAAACATTTTTCGAATAAGCAGACTTCTCCACTGCTTTGGAACAGGATTAGACCACGAGCACTGCTATTAACTCCGTGTGCAATTACAAATAACCAAACAAGAATTCTCCACTAGTCTATTTCTTTGGGTCTTATACAACATATTTATATTGTGCTACATTCTTATATCCAGACCCATCATCTATGTATAGAAGTATTCATCTGTCCTTTGAGATTATAAGAGCTATGAGATACAAAACAAAGTATCATATGAGGATTATGTGAAAGATAAATAAATAAATAAAATAGATTATTTCTTTAAATAAAAATTAGATGTCAACTAAGGGAAAAAATGGATCCAGAACCTGGAATGCTACCGTAAAGAATCATCAAGGCATTCAACAAGGAAATAACATAAATCACATTACCCTTTTTCTTTTGTTTTCTGAACTACACATGACAAATTTCTTATATTGCACCTTGCATATTAATTTTCCTCAATGGGATATATACAACAAAGAACATATAGATTTGAAGGTCTCCTTTATTAGTCCTATCCTCTTATGACTGGTGCTTTGGCCTAGTACCAGTTGGGGGGTGTAACAAACGTTAGAAAGTATGGTGCAAACCCCATTGTCTATTAAAGGAAAATGGAGAAGGGGAAACGGGTTCTATCGTCTCTTTGAGAGCTTCAAACATGATGTTGCTAAAAAATTCCCCGTGTACTTGGCTCTCAAGGAAAACACACACATTCTCTCCTTGTCACAATCCAGCTTTCACTTATCGCCAATGCGCCATGATGAGAAACAAAATGAACTCCCATTTCAAGTATCATATCAATCCAGTCGCACTCAACAAGGTGGATAAGATATGACTACCTTTCGTTAAGTCCATCAAATAAACATCAGACCAATGTTATATAGTAAAGAGCTGCCATTAAGTTTTAAACCCCAAATAAAATAGATAGTACCAAGTGTATATGCAAAAGTAACGATACAATTATACAAGAAAGAAATTAAATCAATTTATGCCCAATGTAGCACATATATCTTTGAAAACTAACAAAACCAGCACAAAAGAAATTAATCTTCGAGAATTCAGTAAATAAAATATAAAAAAAATGGCAAATAAACATTGAATTAAAGCTTATATTGCTTACCGAGGATCATTCCCAGATAATAATATGTAGACCCAACCAGTCGGCTTGACAAGTTCAACATTTTTTATCTCCTAGTTGCATTTGCAAGGGCAGAACCAAACTGAACTAGATCAAGATCAATTCAATACAAATTTTAAAATAACGAAGTGTTTATGTGCTTGCATTTGTGAGACAATCTGACTGTTGAGAAATAAATTCACCTTCAAATTGTGGAAACCATCACCGGCACGAATAGAGATCTTACTAGGTGTGTAGCTCTCGTCAAGCTTGAAATCCACATAGAGAACCACTAACTGAAAAACAAGAACTTCTTACTGATTGAAATCAACTACAATAAATAAATAAATAAATAAATAATTACAAAAGCAGAAAGAGAAACAGGCCAAAGTGAATTCAATTGCATATATATATATACATACCTGAAGCTTCACTTTCTTTTGAAATTGAATATTTACAAGGTGAGGCTGCGCCCCATCTGATCTGAATTTAAAAAATAAAATAAAATCACACAGTGAAAGTATTTCAGTATGAGAGAGAGAGGGAGGGGGAGGGGGGATGTACTGCCAGTAGGTGTCGAGGTTATCGTCGCGGAGAGCAGAGACGCCATTGCCGGGCTTGCAAGAACTGACGCTCCAGGCGGCTTTCTTGGCCATTTCACGGAGGTCATCGTCAACAACCAGATTTTGGTTACCTCCGATGAGCTTACCTTCTTCCTCTCCCTCCGATGACTCCGTTGCCATTTTTTTCTTCTAATTGATAGCCTTTCGATTATACTCAACACTTTATTTCCTCCGAACGGACTATGAAAGCCTCCGACGTCTCTGTATAAATATCGTGAGTTATTATAAAACCCTAACGCAACAACTTTAGAAAGGCTCCATATGACAAAGGATTGGATGACTTAATACAGTATTCAGAACTAGTGGGGTGAAAAATTCTCATCAACTACTTGGTGGAGATTTCCATACAAGTAGAAAATTCTCATCAACTATCCAATAGCAGGTAGTTGCAGGAGTGGAGATTTCCTTATGTTGACTTCCCAAAAATTCATTAAATAAAATAAAAAGACTACGAATTAACTGAATTATGGCATACTATCAACACTTCCATTTCCAAATGTCTTTCCATCTTCTTTCCCCCAAAGGAAGAAAGGAAAAAAGGCCATGCCTGGTTTGTGTTTCAGAAAAAAAGTTCAAAAACATTTAAAAAAAATTAATATAAAAAATATAATTTTAAATTTTTAAAAATTATTTTGGCCTCCCAAAAAATAAAATTATATAAAAATGATAAGTGTTTTTAATTTTTAATTTCTTTCACCAAATTAATTTATAATTGTTTTTTTTTTAAAAAAAAAAAAGAAAATTCTGAAAACCAAACCAAATTATTTCTTTTCAGTTCATTCCTTTTCTTACTATTTTCATGTTAGAAAACCTCAAGCACATTTGTCAGCAGCATCATTTTTTTTAAAAAAAAAGAAAATTCTGAAAACCAAACCAAATTATTTCTTTTCAGTTCATTCCTTTTCTTACTATTTTCATGTTAGAAAACCTCAAGCACATTTGTCAGCAGCATCAGCCAACAAAATACTCATCATAGTTATTGTATAGCAGTCAAACTACACCCCACTCAATTTGTTAGATCCACACTGAACTTCAATGTGATAACTTAACACCAAAAAGAAAAATAAATAAATAAATGACCACAACAACAACTTGTTCTGAGACTGCCTACCTGGTTTAGGGCATCTCCAACTCTCCAATTCCACATTCATTAATCTAATTTTTCCCAAATTTTTTGAGCAAAATGGTAATAAACACATACATACGAATCACCAAAGGGTTAAATGGCCGCCCGGGGGGGGAGGAGAGAGAACTATATCTACTAGGGCAAAAATTATCTATAAAATTAGGGTTACTCCACACCCATCAATCTAAATTTCCCCAAATTTTTTGAGCCAATATGGTAATAAACACATACATACAAATCACCAAAGTAAATTGTATCTATTAGGGCAAAATATATCTACAAAATTAGGGTTCTTTGGATTAATGTGTGTGTGTGTGTGTGTGTGTGTGTGTGTGAGAGAGAGAGAGAGAGAGAGAGAGAGGGAGAAGCGATTCGAGAACTTACAGTTTGGTATTCGGGTTCGGTCGTCGTCCTCCTATCCTCTGTTACTTCGCTCTTCCAAACCTAGGTTCAGTTGAGAGAGAGAGTGATAAGGTGAGTAATAAAAATGGGAATTGAGAGAAAAGAGTGAGACAGATTGAGACTGAAATTGAGATAGCAATGGAAAATTATACTAATTTGAAACTGGGTTCCAAATCTGGGAAACGTTAGATCCCAAGCTTCTTCGTTACAGAAAAAATTATCCCCTCCTCTCTTCTTCTCTCCCTTCTTATACAATATCTCTCAACAGTTCTAACAACTACCCCTAATCCCGCTCAACAACTTTAATAGCTTCCGCTAATCCAGCTGTAATTAATCTGTTATCTGGGTTATCTGGGTCTGTTGTCTGGCCCATCATCCAGTCCAGCCCACTGTCCAAACCACTGCACACTGTGCCTAAATTAAGCCCTCTGGGTTATCTGGGTCTGTTGTCTGGCCCATCATCCAGTCCAGCCCACTATCCAAACCACTGCACACTCTGCTCCTAAATTAAGCCCCTTGTCTTGGCCCATGGCAGCAGCGTCACTTCTAGTTACTGGCCTATCATTCCCGTCCCCTTGAAAAGAGCCTTGTCTCCAAGGCTGGAAAGTTGGAAATTTGGCTTGGAGATCTTGATACAGCTCCCAAGTTGCATCCTCTGGGTATGAATTAGACCATTGTACCAACAATTGAGTGGCTGGCCTACCTTTATATTTGATCAAACGTCTGTCCAAAGCTGCAATGGGTTCAGGTTCAAGGACACCATCAGTCCCTATGGGTGGAAATGTGGCTTGTGGTGTGGTGTGGGCTCCCAACTTCTTCTTGAGCATGGACACATGGAAAACTAGGTGTAACTTAGAGTGTGGGGGCAAGTCCAATTGGTAAGCTACCTGACCCACCTTTTTCAACACCTGAAATGGCCCATAAAATCTTGGGGACAGTTTCATGTTAGACCGGCATTGTAATGTACTTTGCTTGTAGGGCTGCAATTTGAGGAATACCCAATCTCCCACCGCAAATTGGCTTTCGATTCGATGTTGATCTGCCTGTTGCTTCATGCGATTTTGGGCTTGGACTAGGTGTTCCTTGAGGATTTTTAGAGTTGCTTCCCTATCCCTACCCCACTGATCAACTGCAACCACATTGGAGACCCCTGGGATATAGTGGATGTGGGAAGGGGGTACTCGTCCATACACCACTTGGTATGGTGTCAGCTTGGTAGCAGTGTGGTAGTTGGTATTGAACCACCATTCAGCCAAAGGCAGCCAGTGAGCCTATGCCTTGGGCCTATCTCCTGTCATGCACTTGAGGTACACCTCAAGACACCTATTGACCACCTCGGTTTGGCCAACCGTTTGAGGGTGGTAAGAGGTGCTGAGGTTCAGTTTTGTACCTTGTAACCGGAACAGTTCCTGCCAAAAAAAAATGGGGTCCCGATCAGATACGATAGATTTAGGCATGCCATGCAATTTGTAGATGGTATCCAAAAATGCTTGGGCTACTTCCACAGCTGTATAAGGATGGTAAAGGGCAATGAAATGAGTGTATTTGGACAATCTGTCCACTACCACTAGTATGACAGTCTTGCCATGGGAATTGGGGAGCCCTTCCACAAAGTCCATGGATATATCGGACCAGATGCCTTCTGGGATGGGCAAGGGCTGCAGTAGGCCAGGGGAAGCTACTGTCTCTGTTTTGTTCCTCTGACAATTATCACATTGAGCCACAAAAGCATATATGTCCTTCTTCATACCCTTCCAATAAAACGATCGTCGTGCTCGGTGATAAGTTTTTTTGGTACCGGAATGTCCTCCCAAAGGGGTAGCATGTATCTCCTGCATAAGTAACTCCTTGAGCTGTGCATTTGAGCCCACTAATAGTCTGCCTTTGTAGGTCAACAGCCCATGTGTCCAAGAATAGCCTGGTTTGGTGGTTGGGTCATTGGTTAAGCCCTCAATGAGTGTTTTGAGGGTTGGGTCAGTATGCTATTCCTGTTTGAGAGAATTGAGCCACTCAGGTTGAACAATTGAAAGAGCTGAAACTGTGCAAAATTGTTCCAAGCTCTGTCTGGATAAAGCATCTGCAGCTTTGTTCTCATGCCCAGCCTTGAAAACAATGTCATAGTCATAGCCAAGCAACTTTGTGAGCCACTTTTGTTGCATAGTAGTGGAGATCTTTTGGTCTAGTATGTACTTAAGACTGAGATGGTCAGTCTTGATGGTGAAATGTCTTCCCAAAAGGTAGTGTCCCCACTTGTGGACAGCATATACTACTGCCAATAACTCCTTCTCATAGGTTGATAGCCCCAAATGCTTAGGTGCCAAAGCCTTGCTAATATAAGCTATGGGATGCCCAGCTTGCATGAGGACTGCCCCAATGCTTGTGCCGGATGCATCACACTCCAAAATGAAATCCTTATCATAGTTTGGTAGTGCTAACATAGGTGTGGAGGACATAGCTGCTTTTAAGGTGTTGAAAGCATTTTCTGCTTGCTCATTCCATCCAAAGAAGTCCTTCTTCAATAGAGTGGTAAGTGGTGCACAAACTTTCCCATAATTTTTCACAAATCGTCAGTAATAACCGGTTAACCCCAGAAATCCCCTCAATGCCTTGATGGATGTTGGTCTGGGCCATTGCAACATAGCCCCAATCTTGACTGGATCTGCTGCCACACCCTGTCCAGAAATGATATGCCCCAAATACTCCAAAGATTGTTGTCCAAAGGCACACTTAGACTTCTTGACATAGAGCTGGTTGGTCCTCAGTAATTGTAACATGGTTTGCAAGTGGTGAAGGTGGTTAGCCCAAGTTTTACTATATATCAAAATGTCATCAAAGAAGACCAGTACAAACCTCCTGAGGTACGGTTTAAAAACTGAATTCATTAGGCTTTGAAAAGTGGGGGGTGCATTGGTCAGCCCAAAAGGCATAACCAAAAATTCATAATGGCCCTCGTGAGTTCGGAAAGCAGTTTTTGAGATGTCTTCAGGATTCACTCTGATTTGGTGGTATCCAGCTCTTAAATCGAGCTTTGTGAACACTTTGGCACCATGCAATTCATCCAATAGTTCATCAATTATTGGGATGGGGAATTTGTCCTTAACCGTCAACTTGTTCAATTCTCTGTAATCAACACACATCCTCCAAGTGTGATCCTTCTTTTTCACCAATAGCACAGGGGAGGAAAAAGGACTGGTACTATGTCTGATGATTCCAGCGTCCAGCATCTCTTTGACTATTTTTTCAATTTTATTCTTCTGTATGTATGGATACCTATATGGCCTCACATGGACGGGTGCACTGCCTTGTGTTAGGGGAATTCGGTGGTCAATCAATCGTTGAGGAGGGAGAGCACTAGGCTCCACAAATACATCATTAAAATCATGTAAAATGACTGTAATATCAGTGGGTACCTGCTCTACATGTGTAGCTGTGATACTGTACAACTGAACCAGGTAACCTTGGTTGGTTTGCTGTAAAGCCTTGCTCACTTGCTTGCTAGACACTTGTTCTACCTTGTAGCCAGTGTCCCCCTTGAGAAGGATGGCTTGTCCCTCCAATTGGAACTGCATTTGGAGGTTCTTAAAATCCCAAAGTATTGGTCCTAAGGTGGACAACCACTGCACCCCAAGTACCATGTCACACCCTCCAATAGCTAGGATGTGCACCTCTGTGGTGAAGGTGGCTCCCTGTATTTCCCACGTGAAGGCCTTACACAATCCTTTGCTACATAATTTGGTTCCATCAGCCACTGTGACTGGCAAATCTGTGGTGGGTTCCACTAAATGTCCAGAACTCTTGGCCACACTTGGCTCCACGAAGGTGTGTGTACTACCGGAATCAATTAAAATAGTGATGGGCCTCCCTTTAACCTTCCCAATTATTCTCATGGTCTTAAAGGATAGGTTACCTGACAATGCATGCACTGAAATCTGCATGTCATCACTCACCTGAGAGTCTCCATCCTCTTGTAATTCCTGTTCCGGCGCATCTGATTCCTCATCTTCCCCAAACAGCAAATATAATTGTTTCCTTTGGCACTTGTGTCCCCTAACATACTTTTCGTCACAGTTGTAACAAAACCCTTTCTCTCTTCTAGCCTCCATTTCCTTGGGAGTTAGTTTCTTGATGGGAAAAGGGAGGGTACTGGTTAGAGTTGAGTTGGGAGAAGTGTTTGGTTGGTATTTGTAGTCAGTAGGTACTGGGGTTTTGGTATCAGGTTTAGGTCCACTTGAGGGAAAGGGTTTTGGTAATGAGAGGGTTGGGGAAGGGAAAGACCAATTGCTATTGGATGATCTTTGGGGAATTTTTTTTCTTCTACTAAGGGCTTCAATGCCTTCTTCTTGTAACCTTGCTAAGCCTATGGCATGGGAGATGGTAGTCGGTTGGAACATTTGGACACCAGCTTTGATCTCATCTTTCAACCTACTGACAAAACAGCTGACAAAGAACTCCTCGGTTAAGCCTTTGGTTTTGTTGGCTAACTCTTCAAATCGCTCCTGGTACAGCTTAACAGACGTAAACTGCTTCAACTTGGTCAATTGCCCCATAGGATCCTCAAAAGCATTGGGGCCAAAACGCAGTTGAAGTCCGTGAGAGAATTCAGCCTAGGTAGGCATTTTCTGAGTTCGTTCAAACCATTGATACCACTGTATCGCCTCGTCAGTGAGATGCATCATAGCCAGTTTTACTTTACTACCTTCATCAATCTGATTAAATTCAAAGAAGCGATCACACTTATAAATCCAACCAGTAGGATCCTCACCTGAGAATTGGGGAAAATCAATTTTGGCATAACGAGTTTGTACGTAGCCAGAGTTGTGGGGTGAAGGTCTATGAGGGGTTACGGAATCTCCGCCCAGATCTTCCGTCGATGGTTGTTTCTGATCTTCACGAAGGGTGAGAGCCATGATCATCTCCTTGAGCTGGTTGAGAGCAAGCTGCGTTCGTGCTTCACTCTCATGCTGTTGGTGAACCAAACGTTCGTCACTCTCGCGCAACTGACGAATGGTTTCCTCCATCCTCTTCTGTTCTTGCGCACGAGTCTCCGTCATTAGAAATTATGGCCGAGGAACTACTAGCTCTGATACCAGTGATAAGGTGAGTAATAAAAATGGGAATTGAGAGAAAAGAGTGAGACAGATTGAGACTGAAATTGAGATAGCAATGGAAAATTATACTAATTTGAAACTGGGTTCCAACTCTGGGAAACGTTAGATCCCAAGCTTCTTCATTACAGAAAAAATTATCCCCTCCTCTCTTCTTCTCTCCCTTCTTATACAATATCTCTCAACAGTTCTAACAACTACCCCTAATCCCGCTCAACAACTTTAACAGCTTTCGCTAATCCCGCACCAAGTCACTAAGCTGTAATTGATCTGTTATCTGGGTTATCTGGGTCTGTTGTCTGGCCCATCATCCAGTCCAGCCCACTGTTCAAACCACTGCACACTGCTCCTAAATTAAGCCCCTTGTCTTGGCCCATGGCAGCAGCGTCACTTCTAGTTGCTGGCCTATCAGAGAGAGCGTAAAATTATCCCCCGCCAAATCTATAGTTTGGCTTTGAGAACTTCATAAAAAATATTGTTAAAAGCCAAATCTACCTTACAAATCTACGGGATAAGCGCTCCCCTAACTCATCTCTTCATATTTCTTATACTATTTTTATGAGTGTTAATTTAAACTCGCATTAATAATTCAAATAGTTTATTTTGTAACTTTTATAATAAAAGTCTTTCATATAAAAAATTAATTTCATTAGATAATTATAAATATGAAAATAAATCACATTTTATTTTATAAAATAGATGATTTAAATTTAATTATATTTTTCATTCATTCATTTAATAAAATAAAATGTGATTTATTTTTATATTTATAATTTTTTGTATAGATGACCTTCATTACAGAGTCTACGAAATAACTGGTTCAATTCGAATTAGCAAAAGCCATGTCTCCTTGCATAATATGGATTCCAAACATTCACGATCTCAATGTGAATGAGTCGAATTACTTATCCCTCGGTCTATTAGTGAACCATCTCTCCAGGGATTGTGAAAGATGTTCCACTAGAAATATTCTTGTTATTGCTTCGACTCATATTCCCCAAAAAGTGGATCCTGCTCTAATAGCCCCGAATAAATTAAATACGTGCATTAAGATACGAAGACTTCTTATTCCACAACAACGAAAGCACTTTTTCACTCTTTCATATACCAGAGGATTTCACTTGGAAAAGAAAATGTTCCATACTAATGGATTCGGGTCCATAACCATGGGTTCCAATGCACGAGATCTTGTAGCACTTACCAATGAGGCCCTATCGATTAGTATTACATAGAATAAATCAATTATAGATACTAATACAATTAGATCCGCTCTTCACAGACAAACTTGGGATTTTCGATCCCAGGTAAGATTGGTTCAGGATCATGGGATCCTTTTCTATCAGATAGGAAGGGCTGTTGCACAAAATGTACTTCTAAGTAATTGCCGTTCGAATTAAAATCCGATAGTATAGAAAGATATGGAGAGATGAGGCATGGAGGAAAACTTATTCCCAACACTTGAAGAGAACATGGAGGATTCTAAAACATCTGAGTATTCAAGACACTTAGGGCTTGTTTGGTTTGTGTTTGAGAAATTTTTTTCTGAAATATGCTCTACAAACACATTTCTAGGAGTAATCAAACCAAACAAAGTTTTCCAAAAAAATTCTCAGAAATGTGTTTGGTTGTCTTTTTTCAGGATC